GAAGGTCCCTGACCATCTGAAGCGCTTGTCAAAAGTAGTGCAGCCGCTAAACTACATTTGATGTACAGTTTGTCGTGGAGCGCTCTAAGCTTTGTGTGCAGTGTGCTGGGCTTCTGTTTTGGAGAACCATAGTGGCGTGTAACGTCGGCTACTTAAAAAAAAAGTGGCATTGGCTCCGAAAGTTTGCAGCAGATGATTGTCTTTGAAGGACTATCATCTGAGGGGGGTTTCAAACTTTTCCAGAACCCAGGAACCTGTTTTCATGTGCTTAAGACAGCACTTGCAAAGAACAACTTGTGACCGACTGCAAGGCTCAAAGAAGTGTGAAAATAAGTGACTCGTGCGTTTTCCGCGCCTCTGTTGCAGGTTCAAACCCAGGTTCAAACCTGGGTTAAACCCCGGGGGGGGAGGGGACCAGCCTCACTCCGCGCGACTCTGCTTTTGCGAAACGCAGCAAGCGTTGTGCGTTTGAAGGTTGCTGACATCTGGAACAACTTTTAACTGCCCTGGATGATTGGAATGTAATCTTTGTTGGGCTTTCACGGGAAGAAGGCTTGCAGAAAAAAAACCTGCCCGAACATTTCCGATTGGAACTCTCAGAATGAAGCCATTTCGCTGCATGAAACGTTCGGGGCTGGCTCTTAAAAGCTCAATGGAGGCTGAGGACATTCCACACGAAATTGCCTGAGAGGCTTAAAAGCGAAGAAAATACTTGTTCACAAAATTGCTTTGGAAAGCTTAAACGCAAGAAACACAGAACATTGTTGCTGTTGTTGTCCATGAATCTGCAACAGCTTAACAAGCTGCGCTCTTGGATGCTGCGTAAGCAAAGAGAAACGGTGATCACTTTTACAAAGTTAAGAATTCAAAAAAAAGAGTAAGAGGCGGGCTCAAAAATGGGTCCGGAATTCGGATCCGTTTTAGTGCCTGAGTATTGGCATATTTCCCAAGAGCTCAGAAAACGGTCGCATTTTGGAGCTGCATTTTTGGTGCTGACAAACCACTTTCGAGCTCATTTTTGGAATCGCACAATCTGGAAGCGGAGCGACTGTTTCTTCGGCAACATGCAGCCGGAGAACTGCTGTGTACTTGGTTTTCTCGTCAAGGTTCAGCAACAGATGCCTTTTGACATCAGGTTTCATTCCTTGGATTTCTCTTGTACCTTTTCTCCTATCGCCTTCTCGTTCTTCTCCATGTGTTTTTCATATTCGAGAATGTTCTCAGCAATTCCTTTGTTGTGAGCAAACCTGTAGTTAAGGATGTTGTGAAACAGTTCCAACGATCTTGCACGATTCGTTGGCTGATGTTCCTGCATCAACATACGGTAGGCGGGCTCCGAAGCTTGCAAACCGCAAGTGAAATCATCAGACGTGCTTTTGTGTGGTCCTCACCCAGTAATCATACCAATAGACTTTTTTATGTGGGCTCCGAGGCTTATAGAAGTCGGAAGTGAAAGCATCAGACGTGTGTCTGAGCGGTCTTCACCCAAAGTGATACCAAGAGACCGTTGTCTTCACTGCGCACCACACAATGGGAGGGATTCCGCAAGGGACTGCGGGAGATGTGCGGTTGGAGTGAGGGCGTAAGTGAATTCGGGAGTCAAGATGTGGTGGGGTGAGCGTGCGAGTGAATGTGCAAGTCAGGGAGTGACACTAACTTTGCGATTGTTAACGTATGTGAGATTTGGAGCAGGTCTCTGCAGACGCCCGCAGTGCAAACATAACGTGCACGCGGCCGTTCAATGTGTAGAGTGTATAAAAAAAGTTTCTTGGAGTCGGTCTTCTTGCTTCCGAGGGCCCTGACGGACGCACTTTCTTCTTTCCTTCCACGCATTCAAGGCACGGGTGCGGTTTTTTTTTAAATCTTGTGTCTGCATCACAACACGTCTCTGACTGCCGACTGCCTCGTCATCGTCGTACTGGCACACAAAGCGTCCAGCTTTTAAAAGACAAATGTTTCATGATTGCGATTTCCACAGTCTTGCTTTCTCATGGACGGTAGCAGCATTGAATCAATATGAAAGAAACGGACAGCACGGAGGAAGCCCACTAAAGAAGGCGAAGCCAGAAAGGCGGGACTTTCCCAGCCCCGCAATTGCAGTCGCGCAGCTTGCCATGTTCACCAACAGTGCACAGCCTCTCGAGCCGTCGTACATGCTCTCAATGGCAACATCGTTTCGGGCTTGATGTCACGACCTGCATAAGCCACCATCGCAGCTTGTCCACGGCGGGGTGATTTTGACGGAATAGGTTCTTGAGTTTAAAGCATTGGTTTGAAATCTTTGCTCGACTCGTTTTCCAGTGACATGTGCATCACACATGTTGAGTTTGTAGAATGACTTTTTCGTGATGCTGCAGTTTGTGCTCCGAAATAGCGTGCAAAATTTTGAAGCAGACACCCACCCTTCGAGTGAACAGAGATTTTCAGAATTCGATCAACGGCAATATGAACACTGATTTCATGACAATACTAATATTTAATAGAAATATTAGCGTCAGCAAGATTATGAACATTACGATAAACTACTAACATTGGCAATGATAATGTTAATAATAATGATAATGATAATAACATTTTTTGTCAAAGTAGTAATCATCAAAAGATAACATTGCAGTATTGAGTAACAATACTGAAGTTGAAAATGGTACCCATATTATTGTGAGTATTAGTATGGTTATCAGTATCTATGTCAACATTAATACCAATATTCATCGTAATATGAATCTTAGCAATATTCATGGTAACAGTCTTATTCATGATTATGCCAGAAATTGTAATACGAGTTGTACTGATAAGAGCAATAACAACAGAAAGAGTCTCAATAAATGAGTGTAAATAGCAGTAATATTACATTCATACGAATATCGACAGTGATATAATTAGTCATAACAATAGTTTGATCAAAGATCATTCCAAGAATGTTTGTTAATTAGCAATCGATTGGGCCAGGCCTCTGTCACTCTTCTCCTGCACGTGGTTTTTCCACATTGCCGTGATAGTGCTTTTCGCGTCTTTTGAACTTATATGAAATGAACCCCATGTAATTGTTTAATAATGGGAGTTTACTGGAATACGCGAACTGTAATTAATCCCTGTAGTATGATCCCAATAAGGTGCCCATAATTTCGGAAACCCCCCAATTGGGGTTCCGTTGATGCGATTTTTCTTTTTGAGTATAGGTACGTGCAGCCTTTCGTCAAGCCCTGCTTGAAGGTGGCGGAGATCTGCCAAAATCCTAGAGCTGTTTGTGCAGCAGCTTCGCTTCGGGGAATGTTTCTACGAGGTTCACAACCAGACACGCGTTTTTCCCCGGAGACGTCCATTATGCTGCATCTGCATGGTGCATCCAGTCAGTATCTTGAAACTTGCATGCAAGTTTCACTCGATCCAAAAATCTTCTGCATTGCTTTCTGTTCGCTTGTTTGGCGGGCAGGTAGCTCTTTGAATTTACGAGGGTGCATCTTGCCGAAATCTGCTTGCAAGAACACGAAGTTTGATTCTTTCACTTTGCTCCCATGCGTAATTAGTTGCGGAAATAGCTTTGCAATGGACAATGAGTTTGGCAGACGTTCGAACTAGCCCTCTTTTAGGTTTGGTTCTTCACAACCACGGTTGCGGCTGGTTCATTCTCAATCGAATTCCGCTGTTTCGTGGACTTTCCATCAACTGTGACACTTGGTTGCGGCGGAAACAACGGCAGAGTACAGATTACCCATCTTGCGATGTTGCAGATGATCCAGATTTTTCACACGCCAAAAGCAGTTTGGTAGCACAATATGTCGCCCAATTCCCAAACCCTTGTCTTCAAAGCAGATTCCTGCATAAAGGTGCAGTGATTGCAGTGTACAGTGTACAATGTACAAATGATTTAAGCACTTTGGTTGTGCACTATGTCTTTGACAAAATCACCCGCAGCTGCTGCACTGTGGCATGGGCATGACCGGCATGTTTCTTTGATGGCTTGAGACAGACAGTCCGATGGCTTGTGACAGAAAGAGAATTCTCCACCCTCAACGTTGAACCGCTCCAGTGTCGCCAGGCTTCCTGAAAGTTGAAGAACGTTCGGCGCTTGCAGGCGCGACTTTATCTTCAGAGTTCCAGGTTTCAAGAGCAGAGAAAAGTTGGATGTAAGCCGAACTTTCGCTGCTTTGAGATGGCCTGAAAGTTCAAAAAGAACAAAAGCAGTAACAAGATGTATCACTGCAAGTGCAGTCGTGCTAGCCAGTAGCAGGGATGTTTCAAAGGGTAAATAGAGGCAGTAACATGCGAAATGCAAAAAGCTGTAGTAGTAGTAGTAGTAGTAGTAGCAGCAGCAGTAGTAGTAGTGGCAGTAGTAGTAGTAGTAGTAGCAGTAGTAGTAGTAGTGGCAGTAGTAGTAGTAGTAGTAGTAGTAGTCGTAGTAGTAGTGGTGGTGGTGGTAATAGTGGTGGTCGTGGCAGTAGTGGTAGTAGTCGTCGTTGTTGTCATCGTAGCAGTAGGTTTAGTAGTGGCAGCGGTGGTTGTAGCTTCGTAGGAGGAAGCGACTTTAGGTGGTAGGTCGTTTCGCAGTCTTGCATTTCGGTCGGGTTACGGGTTTTCTTCTGGTGTTGAGGTTCAGGCTCTTGTTTCTGGTTTATGATTTTGCGGTTCCGGGTTGTCGGATGCAATGCTTGGGGTTTTAGTCTATGTCTGTCCACCGATCGAACATTGCGGGTGTGCAAGGCAGGTTTCAGTTGTAGTTACGGCTGTGCAAGCAAGAAGCTGAAGAAGCCAAACGACATGCGGCGTGGGCACTGACTAGGCTACCTGTTGCTCGATTCCTGATGATTGCTGGGAAGTTGAACTTCAATTTCAGTAGATGTGGACGGCCTATGTGGGCTTTGACGCCTCTTACGACTCGTTGAAAATTTCTGTTGTAGGTGTTAGGCCCATGTTACAACTTGATTCTGAGAATATCCTGAAAGTTTCAGCTCTGCAACCGCAGCTGTTATCGCTCACGGTTCTTGGAGTGTCGTGTCGCCATGACGTCACCAACGTATCAGCGCACGCCGCTGGACAAGCGGCCGGATTTCATCAAGATCTTGTGCGTGGCAGGCAATAGCCGATGTCTGACATGCTTGGACGAGCCAGAGAAGGGATTTGGGGCTTAGGGTTTGGGGATATATATATATATATATCTATATATCTATATATATATATATCTATATATATTATATATATATATATAAAATGTATAGCAGCAATGCTCACGATGACGACGGTCAGAATCTTATCACACTCATCAGTGTCATCTTCGTCATCAGCTGTACCACCATCACCATCGTCGTCATCACCAGCACCGCCCTAATCAACAGCAGCATAGTAGGAATTTAGGATTCAGGGGAACTGGTGTTGTGCAGCAGGTGGGCCTTGCAGTGTCGATAGTATTGTGCTTGTGCGACCGTTGCATGTGCCACAGCTGCGAGGCTTCTACTGCATCATTTCCGGGGCCCTAAACGGTTCGCATCCCAGTGGGAGTTCAGGGTTTAGGGTTTGGGGCTCTGATTTCTTTTGGATCGGTGCGGTGCCAGAAGCTCCCCGACACATGCCCCAAGCCCGCTGGCTCACGGCTTATCCTGCGAAGTCGGGAACATGTAAGCAAGCACAAGTTGCTCATGCGGCAAGAGTCATGCGAACATCGGAGTTTGTCCGGCTGCATCCCGGTGACGTCCGGCACATATCGCCCTTCGACAGCCCTAAACTCGCTAGTTCTGAGACATGAGACAGCAACGAGGTGTGGCAGTGCAGGAGCTCGGCACGCCCGTTGGCTACACCTCCGGCGGTATGGTGAACTCAGGCGTGGACACAGCTATCAGGGTTTGCAGGGCTCTTAGCTGTTGTCAGAGTGGGGAGTTTCGGTGTCGTGTTTCTACTTCAAGGACACCCCTGTAAGTCTGACAGACGAAAATGACGACCCACTAAGCCAACCTACTACCTACCTTCGCCACTGTCGTGAGCAGCTGTGGCGATTTCTACAGAAGGTCGATTCTTCGCAACGGGCAATGCGGAAGCTCCGAAGATCTTGGCGATGTGTGCATCCTTCTACTGTGGAGGTGCGGGATTGTTGCTACCTCGTGAATGCTGTCACATGGGTCGTCTTCAGATCGGAGATGCTCACCAACAGACAGTAGTACGACGACTGCTACAATGTGCATGCGCCGGTTTGCCCAGCATCAACACGAGAATGCTGACAGTCTCTGCATGTTCCTAGTTGTGAGGCGCTTCCAGAGAAACGGTGATAAGAACCGTATCATACCGTCATACCTTCATCAAGGCCGTCATCGGCGTGAAACTCAATGTCATGATGACATACCCCAGTCCACTTGCCCTAAAACCCTAAATCTAAAGCCCGAAAACTGCAAGCCCAGGGGGTCCTCAACCTAAACCTGAACCTTAAACCGCATCAGACTTGCGGACACCAAAAGACACGAGGGTGAAAAAGAAACCGTATCATAGTGAGATGCTGCAGCCCACGTTAAGCAGAGGCCTCCTCGCAGGGATCTGGCCCAGCGGCTGTGACGGCGACCACGTCTTCGAAGGAAGATCCTCGCCAGGCCAGGGATCAGGGTTCAGTGGCTAGGCATTCGGGATTAGGTGTTCTTGAGGTGAGATCATGGTACAATCATAATGAATGACAAAACTTGCTACGAACAAAAACAAACATGCTCTGCGTCATCATTTCCAAGAAGTCCCAATAATAACACAAATGATAGTTGGTGTTGCTACTACTGCTACTGCGACGACGACGGCTACTACTACTGCTGCTACCACTACTACTACTACTACTACTACTACTACTACTACTACTCCTACTACTACTACTACTACTACTACGACTACTACTACCACTACCACTACCACTACCACTACTACTACTACTACTACTACTACTACTACTACTACTACTCCTACTACTACTACTACTACTACTACAACTACTACTACCACTACCACTACCACTACTGCCACTACTACCACTACTACCACTACTACCACTACTACCACTACTACCACTACTACCACTACTACCACTTCCACTTCCACTTCTGCTCCTGCTTCTACTTCTACTTCCACTTCCACTTCTGCTTCTGCTGCTGGTGCGAAAGACGAAAGTAAGTAGACGACGGAGAATATGCAGTATTCACCGAAGAGCCAGGAGAAGCGAGGTAGGACCAGTAGCAATTGAATGTAGGAAGTCTGCACCGGGATGCATAACATAATGACACGCATAATGTTTCTATTTCAAGCTGCGGGCTTGCAGGCATGATCCTCTCAGCCGCCATGATCGCTATCGGAGCCTACATGAAGAAGGCATCGAAAAGGGAGTCCTACTAAGTCCGTCCAGAGTGCCTTGTGCACGTCAGCTCTCGCCTCAGTCTTTCAGACGCTTGAGGCTAGAAGCCGTAGGGCGTAGGACACTTCAGATGTAATCCGTGCCAAAACCCTCGGCTTGGAAAGAGACGTCCTAACCTGAAGCTCGAAAGCCTGAAAGATGCACAACCGGCCGACCTTCGCGATGCAAATCTGGGCGTTGGCCCAGGGCTTGATGTGACCCGGTGGGTTCTGAGTTTCGAGGGCTGTACCATGCAGGGCTTCCAGGGAAGGTTTTTTGTTGAAGGTTCGGAGGGTTTTTGAGTTTGGGATGTTCTGGCAAGGTGCAGGTTCTGGGACTTTGGACTCACCGTGAGGGTGTTTGGCTTCGTCAAGATCCACGAGGTTTTATTCTAAGCTCGCGAGCTACCTGTCCATGCCGCGACCGGTGGCTGCTTAAGTCCTTGCATTTGCATATTAAGATAAACCGTTCATACAACCCAAAACTCTGTTGAAATATTCATATTCGGACTTCTTATGGTTCAAAATTGTAGTTGCAACTCTGCTCCAATTTGATGCTCGAGAGCCCTGTCAGTCTTTTGCCATCGCTGTGTTTGAATGAAGGGTAGGGTCGGGTCTAGGACCAAGGGTTGGATGTGGGGTCAGTGGGGTCTAGGATTCGCGAGCCCAACTGGTAACTAACCTGGATTTCCAGCACCTTCCGCAAGATTCGGGGAGATTTCAGAGTCGGCGTAGGCGAACAAGGTGCACCCCTCGTGCCCCAGCTCAGGCCCCCGTACTACAGTGGATGTTCAAATCATTGTGATATATCATGTATGGCAATGTATTGTGTAAAAGTTGCTACTTGCTGCACATAGCTGATGTTGACAAATCCCTTGAATAGTATCATGTAGTATCCTTTCGCAGCCCTTCGGCGGTTGCAGGGTTTGCTCATAAGCCCAGGAATGCCACCTCCACGAGCTTTTCTGCTGTGCCGATGAGGCTTGTGCAGCCAACGCCTCAAAGCAACACTCTTTCTTCAAGAGAGTCATGTCATGTACGTGCATTTCAAGATATATTCTGTTATATATAGATAGATAATGACATATATGTATATATATATATAGGTACATTTGCCGACATACGTTCAGTGCAACTTGCAGAAGACCCCCTAAGCCCTTACCCCAAATCCCCGTGGTCACTTTCGTTGGTATGCGGCTGTAGCCTTAGCGGAAGGCTGGCACGGGATCGAAGAACCGCGGCTTCCAACGAATGCCACGAGCATCCAAATCATTTGGTTTAAGTGTTGAGGTTTGGGGTTTAGAGTTTAGGGTTTAAGGGTTGGGTCTTGGGGTTTAGAGTTTAGGGTTTAGGGTTTAGGGGTTGTGGTTTGGCGTTTCGAGTTCAGGTTGAGAGGCAGGTTTCGAGCCCCCTCCCTCCTGAAACTAGAGAGACCGAAGAGCGAAGCCACGCCATCAGGGCGACCCACACTGCCGGCGGGCAGACGGATGCAGCTATCAGCCTCGGAAAGGCAGGATTGAGAAACAGGAGATTTTGCGAGGAAGGCATGGTTCTGCCGTTTAGCCTCTAAGCTCTGAGGGTGTCGGGGCTTAGGCTTTCAGTGTTTCAAGGCCAAGGTGCTTCGGATTTGTAACAAGGATACAAAATGGGGGGGCCAAATCCGCTGCTACCTTACGCCCCTAAGCTCTCAACCCACCGTCCTTCCCGCAGGATCCCTAAACCGTCAAATCTCGAAGCTTTGTGCCTGCTGGCATAGCGCTAAAGTCACCCTGGACTGGATTCCCAGGGTTTTGGAATGATGGAAAACCTGCTTTCTTTGAAAGTTCTGGCTTACATACCGATTTGACGGATCCTGTTGGCAGCCACGTTGAATCCAGAGCCATACACGGGGTCATGTTGCGTTCATAGTCATGTTGCGTTCATACACCAGTCGTATTCTGGAAACACACCACGCAGCACACTGAATCACAAACACAAGCCTTCTTTTTGTGCTGTGGTAGAGAGGCGACAACAATTATTGAGGCGCCTACATTGCACCACTGTAATGTTTTATGTCTTCCTTGCTCCGGAAGGCTTTCGTTCAGTGGCGGACTGGAAAGGAGGTTCCCTGCCTGCGCAAAGTCTACCTGAACGCAGTCTGCTGCGCCGGCACCATCTTTGCAAGTTCAGACCCTATAAACCCTAAACCGCTTAGGAGCACCCTTGCTATCCTGGCCTGTAGGTTCGTAGTTGGGTTTTTGTTGCGAGGGTCCCTAAACCCTAAACCCTAAACCCTAAAGCCCTCCGATAGACACGAGGGCCCCAGGCCCGACCGTGCAATTTATTCTCACCCTCTGAGGCATGATCTTGGGAGGCATGTTGGCCGGGACTCCTGCTTGAAGAAGGGGCCAGGCCTTCCGAGTTGACATATAGTGTTTAGTATATATGTATATATATATATATCTTTAGGGACAAGGATTACTACTTGGCAGTTTTGATTTGGAGTTTCGCTGTCATCCAGAGCTTTAAACCTTAAACCCTAGCGAAAGCAATGTGGTGGGCCCGCTTGGGAGGCCGAGGTGAAGGTCAGAGCTCAGAATATCAGAGGATCCAGCAGCCAGGTGTCTTTCGTTCCAGTTATCGTGTCTGCAACTTTGCGTTTTCATCTGATTTGGTTAGATAGTTACTGCACATCATGCCTCCGTGTATGAAATATGTTCATACATGTTTGCGTATATCCATCTGTCTATCTACCTGTCTATCTATCTATCTATCTATCTATCTTTAAGATTGTATGCATATGGATATGCATATACAACAATACGTACATATATATATATATATGTATATATATATATATATATGACAGTATTCTATATTTGCACACACACATACCTACTTATATATACTTATACCTTTACATATTCACATATATATATGTATATATGTATTTGTTTGTTTATTTAATTTATTTATTCTTTCACACATATATATATATGTATATATATGTATATATATATATATATCATTTAAATATACATACATATATACATATGTATGTGTATATATATATATATATATATATATACATATGCATGTATATGTATGTACGCATGTACGCACGTACTTGGATAGGTAGGTAGGTATGTGTTTCTGTATGTATGTGTGTGTATATGTATATAAATATATACATACGCATGTACATGGTGAATCCATGGGTTTCTATGATCATACACCTATATACTTAAATACACATACATATATATATATATCTGTATATGTATATGTATACAATGTATACACACACTTGTACACGGTTCAGGTTCTTTACACATCCATCCATCCATCCATCCATCCATCCATCCATCTATCCATGCATTCATCCATCCATCCATCCATGCATCCATCCATCCATCCATCCATCCCTGCGTGCGTGCGTGCATGCGTGCATGCATGGATACATATATATATATATATGTATATATACATACACACACACGCATAAATATGAATAAATACATATATATATATGTATGTATATATACATATATATATATGTACACATATATATATATATATATATACACATATTCAGATTTGTATATACGTCTATGCATACTCTTATGTCAAAGAGGTATAGTGCGTACACACCCGCTTCGGTTGCGCATATGCAACATATACACGCACACACACGCACACACACACACACACGTATACACGCATACAGATAATTTTAGCATCAGCTGTGCTCATACCAAAGCACCCCACCTAATACTACTGAGCATTGCCGTTGACCCCTCCTACTCACAAGATAAGATCCCACCTGAAAGCAAGATGATATCACTGAGTATTGCCTCTGATCCCTGTACTCACGAGAGCAAACCCTGCCTGTGGAGAGATGGACATAAACACTTTGATCTGCTTTATTGCAGGGGGAGTGCCATGTAAGATGTATATATAAATATGTTTATGTATATGTAAATGTATATGTGTATATACAGACATATACACATACATACGTACGTACGTACATACATACATACATGGTCACCCGCCCCTTGACAGACCAGCCCGTGGTATAGATGCATTATTTCCAGTCAATCCGTGAAAACATGAAGCGGGTGATTAGACCCACTGATTTTTCCATGTATAACGGTTTTGTCATTTTGGTAGGTAAACTGCCGATTAAGATTGAACGTGATTTTCCTGCTTGTACACTGCCGCTGGTGTCAAGCAAGCCAAGTTTGAACAAACAGAATTCTGGAAGAATCCTTTGTGCCAGTCCAAACAATAGAAGGCAAGATGACAGCACGATATTTGTCGAGAGCAAGATGATGACTGTTAACGGAACGATAGACTCGAGATAGGGTGTTCCAGATGCGATTTTCAGATTATTCGAAATATCTTTCAGCTTCTTTTGGTCTAACCACGTCCAAATCTATTCTACGATGATCTGTCTCCCGAAAAAGTAAGCATTTGCGTATACAACTAGATGTACATGGGAATATATCTACTTTGGATTATCCTCACACCTGCATGGATCTGCCAGTAGAATCCTTCGGTTCCTTTGCGAAGATGCTGCAACCAGCCAGATGACCTCCGTTATGCTGGGTTTGAGGATTTGGAGTGTCCCTGGCAGTAGATCTTCACCCTGCAATCCTAAAGCCAGAGCCGTGAATTCCAGGTCTTAAGTCCTGACCCACAGCCGCCCCAAAATACGGTACCCCTAATTTTCGGAAACTCCCAAAGCCCAAACCCCAAAGTCGCCCAGGAAGTACCACAAGAGGTTCGGCACCTTCTCGGCTCTTGTCCCCGCCGGGGCACTTTTCATGTCCGCGACCCTCTTGCCTAAGATGATCGCGCCGGATGAGGAGCCCCCGAAGAAGAAGTGAGGGAGGTCGTCGTTGAAGAGATCCCCAAACCCTAAACCCTAGACCCTAAACCCTAAACTGTTCCTAGGGTTTTTGCGGTTAGGGGGATAAGCTGCTGGAGAAAGTAGGAGGATTCATACAAGGAACCCTAATAAAGGCCCAAGGTTTCTTACTCAGGTTCCTACACTAGAAGGGAGTCGGCAGTTAGCCAGTCACATACTTATTGCTCAGTATCAGGGCCTCCAATGGAGGATGCCGGATACTCAGCCGGACGTGAGGTTGCCCAACCCACCGTGGCCAGAGTGGGTTTAGGGTTTAGGGTTCTAAAAGCCATGATTTAGCTAAGGGAACCGTGTAGGGTTTAGGGGGGAACCTCCTTACATTGCCACATATTCCACGAACGGTGCCGAAGCTATACTCTCGGGTTTAGATCCAGTGTTTCTCGTTTAGGGCAGCCTTACCTACGAGTTTCACAACAGGCGGACAGGAGGGTCGTGAGACCCGTGCTTCCAGACCAGTCGCAGCCCGTGAGGCAAGTTGCTTCCATCTTCGAGAAGTAGGGTTCAGTTGCCCTTCAGGGTTGCACTAGTCTCCGAGGTTCTGTGAGAAGCAGAAAGCACGCTTGCCGAGCGTTTTCCGACCATGCCAGGCTGTGATGCCAGGGCAGCTCACGAATCGTGATCTCACGTTTTCCCACTGCGCAGCTGCGCTAATCCCTTTCCCATGGAGTCAAAGGGGCATACAATGAAGCCGCCAGACTTGGGGGAGGGGGTTCAGACGGACCCCTTTGAAGGCCTTTCGCAGAAACGGAGTTGACAGTTGACGTTGGGGTTTAGCTGCGAGCAGAAGCCCTAAAACCTCACGAGCTTTGCAACTCCAAAACTCCGCAAACCTTGAAGCCCTAAACCTGCAAGACCAGAAAGTCCAAACAACCGACCTTCATAGCCCGAGACCCAGAAAAGTAACAAAGCCGGGAAACTCCTCCAAATCACAAACCCTGAACCCTAAGCCCTTTCCCGAACGTGTCGGCATTCAGCTTCTTCTTGTTGCTTCATCAACAAGCCTTTACAGATCCTGAGCAAGTTCTAGGTTAACAGTTTAGGGTTGCGGGGTTGGGGTTTAAGGTTGAGTATGACACCAAGAAATGTACACCTCATGAGCCTTAAACCGCAGATGCTGACCGTTTTGCATGTCTTGGAAAAAAGCTGTTGATGAGGAGGCCCAAGGCCCAATACTCGGAAGTCCCTTAAGGAGTCACAAAGCCATACCCCACACGTCAACCCTGAACCCGACACTTCACCCGAAACATTAAATCAATCCTAAACCCTAAACCCTAAACCTCCTGGACTCTAAACCCTGGAACCCTTAGCCGCTCTTCTGGAAGAGAGCTGCCCCTTGAACTTCCGTGGCAATGCCAACTCCCGGGCGCTCTCCGAGATGGCCCGCGGAGATGTTGGCCCTGGCGCCTTTGGGCCTTTGTTGTTTCTGAGGTTTGGGATTGAGGGCGTGGGGTTTAGGATCTATGATGTAGTGGTTGAGGGTTCAGGGCGGAGGGTTTAGAGGTTAAGAGGTTTGGGGTTTGGGCTTTGGGGTTGCTTCTCATGTCGTGTTTCGGGAGGGGTGGAGGGCAGTTGCTTAGGTCAGGGGTATTCTGTTGGGGGTCAGGGCGGGCAGTTCTTTTGAACTTCCCAACCCCAACCATCCCTAAATGGGGAACCCCTAGCCTTGTACCCTAAAGCCGGAAAGCCTAACGGTTGGTGTAAAGCCCCATGAGACTTGAGCCCCAGACCCAGACTAAGCCCTAAACCCTAAACCTGATCTGATGAGCACCCGATCCCTGAACTTAGGGCCGTATCCCCAAACCCAACAACCGCATGAAACCCTTGTGCTTGAAACTTTCCCAGAGAGCCCTAAACCCTAAACCTTAGAGTCCGGGCTATTCAGCCTCTTCGGACCTCAGGGCTTGGAGAGAAGGAGCTAAAGAAAAAAAACCCTAGACCCTAGAACCTAAACCCTAAACCCTCAAAAAAAGGCTTCAAAGCTTGAATCCCACCCAAAAAAAAACAACAGAAACAACACCATAAAAAGCACTTCAGAGCCCTTAGTACAAAAAGCGAGCCCAGGCTCCTCCTCTGCGGCTTCGGCCTCTCCGCAGAGGCGAAGTCCCGGGTCCTAGGGGGTTGTGGGGTTTGGGGGTTTGTGCACCACCAGCACCAGCACCAGCAGCACCAGCAGCACCAGCAGCACCAGCAGCAGCAGCAGCAGCAGCAGCAGCAGCAGCAACAGCAAATCGCGCGACAACCATCGCCATCACCATCACCAGCACCATGATTCCTATCACCGTCACCGTCTTCACGTTATGATTGTCCAGGCCACCTTAAACCTGAAACAATGCACCCCGCATCCTGAACCCGCTGTCTTCCAGACATCACAGGTACCCTTGGAAGTGTTTGTACGTACTTACAGGTAGTGAAGAAGAGTGACAAAATCTCCGACAGTTCCCTTGCCTGGGAACCGAACGCATCACCGAGTTTGAAAGTGGAGACGTCCTACAGGATGACTCCACTCGGGGGGTCCAGCCACTCGCAGCGAGAGGTGGACAGGACGGACGATGTTTCCCATCGTCCCAACATCAGCTGAGGACTGAGGACTTCAGTTTAACTGCAGCCGCCGGAAAGGCAGGCCGGTCAGAAGTAATTCAGAGGCTAAGCGCGAATATGAACAGCAGACGTTCAAAGGCGCTGAAACAGTCATGCAGGAGTCTATGCCCGCACTGTCAAGCCTGTCAATGTTATGTCTTACGACATGGAAGGACTTCCTCGTTCATGCGGCTGTGGGTGGCTCGCCGTCCCCGCATGAGTCGTCTGCAGTCCCGCCAGAGTCGTCCGCCTCGCCCCGTAGCACCAGATTCGTTCGCCAGTTTTGTGGCCGCCTGCTAGAGTATCCTTGCCAGAGTCGTTCGCCAGCCGCTGTGCAGTGCCCGATACGCCCGATCACCCGTCGTCGCTGCCGCGTTCGCCAAGATGTTTTGTGGAACCGCGTCGCCGTGGCATGAGCGCGGCTGTCCCCGCCAGAGGCGTCCGCCAGCCCGTGCACAGTGCCCCCGCCGTCTTCTGCCAAGCTTTGTTTCTGGTGCCGCCCGCATCCCCGGCAGAGTCACGCGCTGGGAGAAAAGGGAAACGGATCTTGCTTGTGCCCCATGGCTAGCGGGGCCAAAATCAGGTTTGGCAAACTCGATCTGCTTCTCTCTACGATTATGGGAGGACCGAAACTTGGTTAGGCCCGGAACCCGAAGCCCTGGTGCAACAGCAAAATCTCAAAACCTGAAGAGCAGTTGATGTCTCATGTTTTCTCTACATCTCTGGTGTTGCCTACATAGTTACCAGTAGAATCAGTTGAATTTGCTCAACTCCAACCACTGCATCCCTCCCCGCTCCGCACCCCTAATACCACAAAGTCCCGAAAACACCTAGACCTCGAAGACCCTTAACCCCCCCACCCCTTTCTGGCAACCCTTATGGACCCTTAAATCATGCTAAAAAGGATACCCACAATCTTCGGAAGGCATTCATCTGTCCAGCACTCCTTGCACCCCGGAGCTCCGTGGGCGTGGCCAAAACCGCGTCCTTTGCAGGCCATCCTCGAGCCTTCCTCGGGGTTTAGGGTTTTGGAGTCTAGGGTTTAAGGGTTTAGGGTTTCAGGGTTTTGGAGTTTAGGGCTTGGTTCGATACGGGGTAAAAGGCTTAATTAGGGATCAAATGAGGTCTAATGACGTAATTAGGGTGTTCGCATCAGTTGGGGTCCCCGTTTCTGGAACTCCTGTGTGAGTTCCGAGCCTCTTGCATGTTCTCCGTTTATCTTTATCTTTTTCCTTACTTGTCTATCTCTCCATCCATCTGTCCGTCTATCTATCCATCTGACTAGCTACTTATCTATGTATCCATTTGTCTATCTACCCACCATTAGCTACCTATTTGTTGGCCCATTTCCTATCCATCTATCCATCCATCCGTTCGGGAATATCGATTTATCGATCCGTGTTCAAACGATCTATCGATCTTCCGATCGATCGATCTATCTATCTACCCATTCGTCTACCTATCTATCCATCGATCTACCTGTCTATCTACGTATCTATCTACTTACCTATCGCAGATGAAATGACATTTATGTATGTGTATATATATATATATATATATATGCACACATACACATACACATACACATACACATACGCATACACGTACACATACACATACACATATACATATACATATACATATACATACGCATACGCATACGCATACGCATACGCATACACATACACATACACATGCACATACAAATACGCATATGCATGCATACATATGTATGTACATGTCTACATACATGCTTCCAACATTCCGGCTGAGTGTCATCAGTGCTTGGGATTTGCAGAGCCCTGGGTATCGATGGCTTGAACTCTTTGCTGCAAGACCCTGTGGGGAGCAACATTTCTTAGTTTAGGGTTTCGGGTCTGGGGATTTCCAGGGTAGGGCTTGCCTCCTGCTAGGTCGGCCTGGACGTTTCTCTGGTAAGGAGGCGTCGTCAGTGTGGCTTGCCTGTCAATTCAGTTGTGTGTGCAGACGCGCAGGAGGGTTCGACGTTTTCGAGTCCCGTGAGACGGACAAGTGAGGCACCCAGTGAGGTAACTAGTCAGAATGACGCAGGGGTCCGAACAATCACTAATGGTTCCAGTGTATTCCTTGTATCTCCTTGTGTCGTTATACTCGTAGTCTAATATGCCCAAAAACCAATTCGAATCGTCAAGGCCCCTTTTGCCCGCATATAGCAGGAAGCCCTTGTAGAAAGAACCCTTGTAGTGACCCTTTCAAGAAGCCTTGTTCCAATTCATCAAGAGGTCTCCTCTTTTCCTTGCCGCCGCACTTGGTGCTGCCAGCTGCCTGGCGCGTGCCGCACGCGGCCGAGCAGCGGTGGAGGAAGCGCTGCCTGGCAACCTCAATAGCTACTGTTGAGGTCTTCTATGGCTCTTTTGGAGGGCTTTATGATATAACTATGGACCTGTACAATCGAGCCATACTGTTGATGATATAAATTCTGCATTACCTTAAGGACCCTTGACTATGGGTAGATTCCTTATTATGGGTAATGCAGGATTTATATCATCAACTTAATCATCAACCGTATTTCCACATAGCTGTTGCACCAAGCCCCTTGATTCGGTTGTCTGCGTGAGGGTGGAGGACTGTTCAGGTTGTTGCTTGCGGCTTGAAGCTTGTAGGGTTGCGGGTTGATGCGGGTTGACGGGGTTTGGGCTCACTGAGCTTGTGGATGACAGCGAGTCGTTGCATTGCCCTTGTACCACCATACCCTAAACAGTCAATCTTACAGTACACTGCGTGAGTGGTGCGCATGATCCGAGAAACACATATGGGTTGTGTCACCGATCAACTTGTGTTACCTTGGATATTCGGGCTGGCTGCAGATGATGAGTTTCCAGAGCTCTTCCTGACAGTGTGGAAGTGATCAGAGTCGTGATGGTCGTGGGAATCCAGAAAATTCAGAAACCCTAAACCCTAAACCCCAATCTTGAAGCTTCGAGCTGTGGTCAAGCCCTAACTGCAGGCTCCAAAGCCCTAAGCTCAGGACCCCCGCAGACCCAAATCCCTGAACCCCCAGCTCCTGCAGATCCCTTCTAGAACCCTTACAGAACCCTTTTTTAGAATCATCTTAGAGCCCTTATGTGACCCTCACTTGTAGATCCCCGATAGAGCCCCAAAGATCTTGAAGGAACCCTTCGACTTCAAAGGAACCCTTATGGAGAGCCCTTATGGAATCCTCAAAGATCCTTCAAAGAGCCCCCCTCTGCTTGAAGGACCGTGGGACTTAGTAACTGGGGCTATAGATGAGGTAATTTGAGTTATACAAACTTATAACCCCAATTAAGGTACTTATATCATCCTTACTTACTAAGTCCCATGATCCTGAAAGCAGATCCTAAACCCAAAACCCTATATAGATCCCTTTAAGGGGCCCTGAAGATCCCTTTAAGGAGCTCTGTAGCCCCAGGCTGGGTGCCCAGCTCACAGCCCCGGCCTCCGATGCATCGGAGCAGAGGATCCTGGTGGTGGCCATGGGAACGCGCGGCGATGCCCGCCGGCTCGCATTTGGGGCTCCGTAAGGGCTCGATATAAGGGCCCTAGACCCTAAACCCTAAACCCTTTAAAGACCTTCGGGCTTTGTAGAAAAGGAGCTCAAAAAAAGAACCCTAAAGGGTTCTACAAGGGATCGGTCAGAGTCCAGGGTTTAGGCTTTTAGGTTTTGGGGTTTTGGGTTTGGGGTGCCTTGGGCCTGCGAGGAGCGGGCTTGAGGTTGACGGAGCTGTGAGGAAATTGGATTCTGGGCTTTCAAGTTCAGCTTTTCGGGAATCCCGGAGCCCCTGAAGTTGTAATAGTAGTAATAGTAGTATTAGTAGAAATAGTAGTAATAGTAGTAATAGTAGTGATAGTAGTAACAGTAGTCCATGTTTACCAGGCAGAAGCCCTAAAGCCTAAACCCCCTGAAGTTATTTTTGTGAGTCTCCATGGTCCAGATGCCTAGGTGCAAGTAGTTTTGATGCAAAGTTTATTCAGATCTCTGGTTCACCAACCGTCACCAACCCATATAGTTTCTTTATGGGATTCGGAGTATAGAGGCATGACAGAATTAGAATAAGGGCTTGGGGGTATTTTGTACTATCATTGTAAGAAGGAGCCCTGAGGAATATGATTGCTCTACGCAAAATTGCACAGGGCCTGTTTTCAGGCTGTACGGCACCTCACCCCCGACACCGTAAACCGCCGAAGCAGTTAGAGTGGCGTTCGGGAAAAGAGTGGGGCTCATGCAGTGGATAATCGCATTACCAGCTTGTAGCATGGCGAGAAGGGTAATTGGTAGCAGCAGTGATGCAAGTGGCAAAGGTGAATTGAAGAGTAAACGATGTATGGCAAGAGCAAATACAATAACGATCTCAACAATAGTGGTTCTTGAAGTGTCTGTCACTGTTCGGTAGCATCAGTATGATTGGTCATGCTGCTCATCTTCATCAGGAACTCCATCCCCTCAGCCATTATCCAGCATCTTCATCATCATCCTGTTCAATATAGCTGCATAATGTCAATATACCCTAATTCTTAAACCCTTACGCTTAAATCCTGAACCCTACACCCTAAATCCTAAACCCTACACCCTAAATCCTAAACCCTTATCCCTAAATCCTAAACCCTACACCCTAAATCCTAAACCCTTAGCCCTTATCCCGTTTCTACTGCCACCTTCCGATTCCAAGGCGGAGCCCGGGTTCCGACTCGCCGCAGCCCTGCGCGATCGGGGTCACGCTGTGCTGGTGGTGGCCGGTCTTCGATAGAGGGCTCTTGGGGTTTTAGGGGTTGAGGGGTTCAGGGTTTATGGTTTAGGGCTTTGGAAGTTTGGGGTTTTGGGGCATAGGAGACGAGGGAGTTTGGGCTCTTGGATTCGAGAGCAGGGTGTGCCTTCGTCGCCCTGGTAGTGGTTTTCGTGGGGAGTGCCGAATCCTTTGCAGCAGCAAGTCAAGCACTGGAACATGTCTCAGAGAAATTAGCGGTTGGGGTCGTGGAGAGCTGGAATCTCTGACCTGACAAAACTGCTGAGGTTTCCTTGGACGCCTACAAAGCTGAAGCCACCCAGCGGTTGCTTGGAAGAGCTTGCCAAAGGAAGGTTTCGTAATGAGGTTACACATCTGCGCCTCCATGTCTCTGGCTCCATATGTCTCCGTTCATACGGGTAACTGTCCATTTGCCCGTGTCGTTTATCAATGCGGCCTGAGCCTATCATATTACATTATTAAATGTTTGCATATGTCAGTACATGACAGCATATCTTACATTACAGCCGTACATTATAGTCCCTCGTTCCTCCTTGCTCTTTCTGCTGCCTTCAAATATCAGCCCCATAGTCCATGAGCACGTACCAGCACCCTCCTTCCCTGAGCTCTCAATGCACTCCTGAACCCCCAAACAAACTCTGAGTCCTTAAACCCCCGAAGCCCCAGACCTGTTAAGCCGAATCCAGCGCAGAATCCGGAACTCTCACCACTCGTCCCTGGTCCCTGAGCCCTACACCCTAAACCCTGAGCCCTAAACCCTAAACCCTAAACCTTAAATCCTAAACTCCAAACCATAAGCCTCAACGTCCCCCAAGATTTGGCCTGGACTTCCGCAGCTCTGGCTTGGAGTCCGTGCCACTCTCCCAGGAGTTGGGTCTTTTTGGGGCGCGTGGAGTTTGGGGTTCAGGGTTAGGGCTTAGGATCTAGGGTTTGGGGTTTAGGCTTGATCGTAGGGTTCCTTTTCTATTTGAGCATGGGGGTTTCGGCTCAGTTTGCGGGCGTCGGCGTGTCAATTTCGTGGTTTTGCGGCTTCTGTGTGACAGCTGGGGTGTGTTGGGCCTGGAACACTCCTTCTTGGTAAAGCTTGTACCGGAACCCTAAACCTTAAGCCCCTAAACCCTAAACCCTGAGCCCGGTGTCGTGGTGTAGTTTAGGGCCGCGTGCAGACTATGACGCACTATGGAGCATGTTCTCGATCGGGGGGCTGCCAGAGCTGCCTCCACAACACCCTGCGATGAACGCTACACATGAGGTTGGAGGCTCGCATGTACTTGAAGGTTCATGGGGAGTTATGAGTGGGGATACAAGTCCCCCAGCCCTACAATGGGTTTTACTTATAGTTACTTATAGTTTCCCTACTTGTAACCCCACTTAAAGCTACCCTTGAACCTGCAAGTAAGACGGATTCATTGTAGAAGATTCCTGGAAGGACTACCTCACTGGCAAGACCCGTGCAGACCAGGCAGGGTCCTTCCACGCCCTCCCCCCCGTCCACTCGGTACTCCATCTAGGGAGCCACTATTCTTTTTCCCGTAGCCCGAAACCCGAAGCTTTTAAGTGGGTTTGAGGTTCGCAGGTGTGTGTTCTCAGCTCTACTGTAAGTGTTCCTAGCATGGAAGATTCAAAACATTGGACCCTGGGGCTCAGGCTACCTTGGGTCCTTAACCCTCAGCCCCGAAACCCCAAACTTCCTTAATTACCCTTATGGATTGGGAGTTCTGCCAGGTGTATGCCGACCGAGGCTGGTACGGCGACGCTTGGACCACAGTTGGCAGCTCGGCATCGATACCATGAGGAGACTGCGCCCCAGAGGCGGCTCAATATAGGGGCCTGAAAAAAGAATAGGGTACCTCCTTTAAAGGGCTCCTTCTAAGAGCTACTATAAGGGATCTATAAGGGTACTAGAGTATAGGGGCCTGAATAATAAGAATAGGGTTTTGGGGCCAATTGTACTGTAATTATGATAAGGAACCCCGAAATGGTATTGGTAATCATAGGCGGCGTAGCTGGGCTTTGGAGTACATACTTTAACGCTTTTGTTCTTACAGGAAAAGTTATGACATAATGAACTGAAAGTTTACATTTTTCTCCTGGGTTACTTACAAGCCCAGGTAGGGTTCACTATCGAGGCCTTGATAGAATAGGGTGTTGGCGTACATTATACTATGTATACTATTATACTATACGGAACCAGAGAGGGAACAGTTTTACTATTTCTGAAGGCCCCTGTACTAGGCAGTCAGGAGGCTGAAGGCAAAACAAGCCTGGTGTAGCAGACTGAAGAATCTATTCCTTAGGGTTTCTATTACACATTTATACTGAGACCTGCCACGAAACCCTAGGTAAGCGAAGTGTGAATGGAGAACATGAAAGGCCTTGGGGTAGGGCGAGATCCTCATGTTTGAGAGTTCTTTAACCCCAAGCCCTAGCCGAAGCCACAACCCCGAAGCCGAACCTAAACCTGGGTTTAGGGTTGAAGGTTAAGGGTTTCAAGTTTAGAGAAACCCGACAGGGGTTTATGTTGCTGTGGCCCGCCGCCGAGGCGAGAAGATCTATGAGGCCGCGCAGGAGCACCAGTGTGACCTGATCGTCACCACGTCCATGGGAAACACCCACTGCCTGGACGTGGCTGAAAAGCTGAATATCCTGTGCTTCGCGCTGAAGTTCTGTCCGGACATCGATGGGCAGGCTCCACTCCCCTAAACCCTCGACCGCAAAACCCCAAAACCCTAAACCCTATAAAACCCTAAGCCCTAAAACCCTAGACCGTAAACCCTAAACCCTAAAACCCTAAACCCTAAAACCCTAAACCCTCGACCCTCAAGTCTCCAAAGAGCCTCATCTCTCGAAGAACTGGGCCCCTGCGACATCTTTCCCCCGAGGTTCCGACAGCGGACTTCCCGCCTTCCGGCTATCCCTCCGGGCCCGGCTTCATGAACCTCTTGTTCCACGTGTTGGAGAACCTGAACACTGTGAGGTCGCCCGAGGGAGGGTGTGGGGCTGTGTAGGGTTTAGGGCCAGTTTAGGGTTTACGCTGAACACCGTAAGCCCGCGTAGGCTGTACGGTTGCGGTTCCGAGTTTAGGGCGTGCGATGCTCTGGCAAATCTTAATGAGTCCTGATGGGAGGGATAAGCATGTGGATGTAGGGTCGCCTCTACACCTCGGCTCAAATTAAGGGAGCTTCAACATGCTGCCCCGCTCAGAATGCTACAAATGCCGAGCACAACGTACAATGGTGAGAACCCCCAAACCCTTAAATTTAAGCTCTAAACCCGTAAAACAATGTCAACCTCAACATCCAACCGAACCCTCCAACCTGAGCCTTCCATCCCTAAATTTTCGCTTTTAGCCCTCAATCTTAGATCCAACTCTAAGCCGGAAGCCTTAAAAGAACCCAAAGCCCTTACAGCCCTGCCCTAAAACCCCCAAAGCCCAAACCCGAAAGCCCAAAACCTTAACTCCCAAACTCTGATCCAGGGCCGGCGGCTTCATCCTATTAATATACTATTAATCTACTATTCATCTACTATTAATTTGCTATTAATATACTATGAATGTACTATTAATATACTACGATATATCAAACTCCAGGGCCGTCTTCCAGGGCGGCTTCATCCCTCGGGTCATCGACTTCCGCAACAAACTGGGCCTGCCCTCTCAGGAGATCCCTGGCGTTATGGAGGTCGGAGTTTTGAAGTTTAGGGTTTAGGGTTCGGAGTTTTGCAGTTTTTTAGGGTTAAGGGTTTAGGGTTCGGAGTCTTGCAGTTTAGGGTTTAGGGTTCGGAGTTTTGCAGTTTAGGGTTTATGGGATTCTGAGGGTTTCTTGGGGTTCCAGGATTTTGGGGTGTTATGGAGGTCGCAGTTTTGGATGCTGAGGGTTTTTTTCAGAGACTCCAATATCCCGTCATTAAGGAAATTATTGTAAAATATAATAGGATCCCTTAAGGACAGGTATATTCCGGAATTAAGGGACATTGGAGTCTCTGGGTTCTTGGGGTTCCGGGGTAATTTGGGGTGTGTTTCGGGTTCACGGTTTCGGCTTTTTTTGTGGTGAGAGCGTTTGGGCTGTAGTGTTTTGGGGCTATGGCTTTGCCCTGGAGGTGCCCACTACTATTTTGGGCCTAACTTCACATTAAGGCCTTTATATTCAACCCTAAACCCTAAACCCTGAACCTTTTCTTTTTTGAGGAAAAGGGCCCTCAACAAAAAACCATCAACCCAAAACCAGAAATCCTGCCCTGGAGGTGCCCACCTACTCCGACTACCGGCAAACCTTGCAGGCGAATCAGCCGAGCCTCTACGCCTTCAGCAGCGCGCTGATCGACAGGTGTTGAGGGTTTTTTTTTAGGGTTGGAGGGTCGTTGTTTTGGGGGTTTGGGGTTGTTGGGTTTGGGGAGGGTTTGGGATCCGAAGGTTTTTGTTGTTGTGTTTTTGGGGCTTAGAAGGGTGTTTAGAACCCTAAAGCCAGTACAAAGCCTCATAAGAATCGCTAGCTATACAAACCGCCATGGGAACCGTATAGTAACTTATTTCGGAAGTCTTGCAGGAATCGTTGCCCTAAACCCTAAACCCGAAACCCCACATCCCATCGTCCAGGCCATCAGAGTACCAAAGCTGGCACTTCGTCACCGGGTCGTTCTCTGCCCGCGGCGGAGGGTGTGGCCCGAAAGCTCTTGGCCAGGGTCTACAGGTAAAATACGGACCTTAATAGCAGCAATGACAGTACGTAGTCGTACTGCTAATAATGGTTGCATATTAAGGAATCATGGTGGGAATTGGGTTTACGGAATATCATTATGTTATGGTATGAGAATCTGGGAGACTGTAAGCAGAGACTGCTGCTCGTTATTCCGACACCTATATGTGGGGGGATTTTCCGAATTTCATTTCCTAACCACCAGCTCCATACTTTGAGCCTACTTGGATGGTCGGGGGACTTAGTAACTGGTTATTTTAGGGACTTACAAGTACCGTAACCCCAATTAGGGTCCCTTTTAGGGTACTTATATAAGTCTACTTACCACCTACTTACTAAGCATTCGAGTCACCAAGCAAGGGCAGACTCCCCATGAAAAGCTTTGGCCTTAGCCATACAGGGTTTGTTTATTGTAGATTGTAGTTTTAGGGTTTGGGGTTTTCAGGGGTTCAGGGTTTAGGGGTTTAAGGATGTTTAGGCCTCATGGGTTTAAGGGTTAAGGGTTGCGCATTTGGAGTTGAGGGTTTGGGGGTTCAGAGTTTGTCTCAGGATCCGGAGCTCGGTGGGTGTCAGTGTAGGGTTTGGTTTGGGGTTTAGGGTTTCGATTTAGGGTTTAGGGTGTCGGTTTTGAGTTTCGGGTTTAGGGTTTCAGGTTTGGGCTTGGAGTGCCTCCCATAGCTATCTTCTGAAATCCGAGCCCCAATGCCTAAATTCTAAACCCTAAAACCTAAAGCCTGAAACCCACAGCTTAAACCCAAAGCTCTGAACCGCTGAAGCCCCAAACCCTTCAAACGCCATCAAACACCAACCGAGATGACCCGACGTCGCCCGAGCTGCCGGCTGATTTGTTGAAGTTTCTGAAGAAAGGAGACTCGGACTTGGAAGACTATTCGGGTTAGGGTTCAGGGGGTCTGTATGGGATGCGGTAAAGGATCCAAGAAGGATTTCGGGCTTCGGGTTGTAGGGTCCAGGGCTTTACATGATTGGCTTCGGATTTTTGTCGTTGCTGCTAGCATCGCGCTTTCAGGGCCGGTGCCTGTGTTAGTCCTACCTGTTTGTCTTTTCTTGCTCTTGTTGTTGTTGTTGCTGCTACTGTGCTGATATTCGAGATTGGATGGTTGGCTTCCAGAGATGCTGTTCCAACGGTCTACAGCTATTCGATTTTGTTCTTTGGGTTTCCACTCTGGAAAGCTGTTTGCTTTATAGCTCCGTGCAGGTCGAAGTAAGCCAAGATTCGAAAAATCACCAAGAGGCTTTGAGCACGGCCGGATAGAGTGTTGTGTATTAGAAGCTGCCCCCACCCTGTAATATTGACTATAAGGATTATATTGGGGCCCTATTATATTCCTATTATACCACTATTACAGGGTGGGGGCCCTTTCTGGTTGCGGGGGCCCCCTGCGAGGACATTGCGAAAGCCTCACCCTCGGCCGCCCCGTCTCGGGGCTCACAGTTCGGGGTTTCAGGCCCAGCCGCCGCCTTCGGATCCGAGCCCCCAAGTCCCATACCCTGAACTCGAACACCTCTTGCCGGAAATCCACGTTGTTGAAATGACCAATATTCCGGGTCCAGCTGGTGCTTCATTTTCATTCGAGACTCATGATGATTTTCATGGTGATGATGATGTTGTTGTTAAGATGGTGATGGTGAGGGTAATTATACAGGTGCAAGAGAAGTAGAAGATGAGTTGATCACCCAGTACACCCCCCCAAACCAGGATGTCCTGAACCCCAAACTTACACTCCGAACCCCAGCAGAGCACTAGGCGAGACAGTTTGCATCGCTTTCGGCTCGATGAGTCTGGCTCGCACCAACCCCTTCGAGGACCGTAACAAGTAAAGGGCAACCAGCAGGATCATTGCCTTACCGGTTTGTGCCCTCCAGAAATGATGCTCTTCACGGGCTTTAGGTTTAGGGTCTTAGGGTTTAGGGTTTAGGATTTAGGGTTTATGGTTCAGGGTTTAGGGTTTAGGGTTCAGACAGTCTGTGTGAACTCGGCGCTGGCGCGAAGTGCGAAGATCCTGAGTTATTCAACTTGGCCCCCTGGGTCTGAACGTGCACAGAGGCTTGGTCCTTCGTGGGTAGAAGAGAATAATAACACCAAGCCCTAAATCGAAACCCTAAACCCTAAACCGTAAATCGAAACCCTAAACCCTAAACCCTAAACCGCAAATCGAAACCCTAAACCCTAAACCGTAAATCGAAACCCTACACCCTAAACCCTTAATAGAGCAACTGATTTCCAAGCCCGAGGCCCTCGGCGAGGAAAGCTCTCCCCCAGTTTGAGGATCTACGGCTGAGGAACCCATAGCTGCCAGTCGCCGACCCAAACATGGGAGTTTCCAAAAATGAAGGGTACCTTAATTTGGGTCCTTATAGTAAGGATCCTACTGTTTAGGCTACTATTACACACACTCAAGGTATACCTATAGACCCTGTTGATACATCCAGCCATCGCTACTGCTATTGCTGATTGAATGTTGCCAAGCTTCTCCAGGAGAGGGCCGTTGCCTCCGTGCGGAGACAGGGAAGACAGGTCTTGATAGTCGACAAGGACCGCTGCTGCTTCAGGGGATCCCTCGTTCAGGAAGCGAGGGCCAGTTTCGTAGTTTAGGGTATATTATGCTATGTTCTGCTATACTTATGTTAAGGAGACCCTTGAAATGCTCCTAATCTTGGTTTTCTGCGACCGTGTCCTTCCAAAACTTCCAGGACACCCCGCAGGAGGGCCTTGGCGATGATGGTGCCACCTTCCGCATCAAGTCCGCTCCCTATGATCGTCTCTTCCCTCTTTGTGCCCGGCCATGCATTGAGATAGGATTTTGAAATGTCGGGATCCGACGCTTAAGGGAGCCGTTCTGACACTTGGATCCCGAACTCGCCCCACTGTCAGAGAAGTTCCATCCCACTTCACGAAGAGGTGCGCTGGTTGTCCACCATGGTGGTGCCGGGACCTTGCAGGACAGAGCCCTAAACAAACCCTAAACCCTAAACCCGAAATCCAGAGAGCTGTCTTGGTTCCCCAGAGAGCCCAATACCCCTTGATTCAGGAATATGCCTCAAACCATAAAATTAAGGCCCCTCTGATCGTTGGGCTTTCTGGGTCCCTCTGATTAGGACTGCCTCTTCGCGGGGACACCTCAGCTCGTGGCGCCGGTTCTCTCCTGGAGCGACCAGCCTCTCTGGGGGAGCTCTTGGCTATTCTTGAGCATGTTGGGGTTGTCAGAAAAATAGGATCCCCTTTTGGGGTTAAAGAGGGTTTGGGGCTACTCTTGAGCATGGGGGGCTTTCAGAAAGCCAGGATTCTTCGTCCTTAGAATAAGGATCCTGCCATGTAGGGTTCTGTGCGAGGCTATTCTTGAGTACATTGGCTAGTTGTTCTGGTTTGAGTGTAGTAGTACATCACTGAAAGAAAAGGGCGATACTCTCTAATTCCAATACGGTAGCACAACAAACTTGCAGACGGCACAGGGCCTCCAAGAACAGCCTATACCCTTTAAGCCTAAACCCTGAATCCTAATAAATCCTGAAGCCCTAAACCTAAACCCCAAGACATCCTAAAGCCTTAAAGCCTAAGCCCCGAAACATCCTACAGCTCTCTTAAACCTAATTCCAAATCCTCCCACCCCCGGGAGGATCTAGAAAGTAGATCCCCTAATTTGGGGCCCTATACTACTTTGTAGGAACCCCCATTACGGGATCTATTTTATCCTTCCGGGGGTCTGGGAAGCCGTAAAGCCTAAGTCCGAAAGCGTTCTAAAACAATAGAAGCGATTCCCAGGAAAGTGGTGGAGGAGAAATCGTTGGGTCTCTGCCTTGGTGTCGCTTGGCATTAAGTGAATTACGTAGTATTATTATTTCTATGGTTACTAGTCCTGGCGTTATTACTTACTATCATTAATAATAATCTTGCTTTTAGTACTATTGGTGTGACTGACTTTTTCTGAGGAGCCTGTCCCTTCGGACTATGGTGCAGGAGTGTAGGGTTTCAGGTTTCGGGTCTGTCTGCACGTAGGTAGGTAGGTAGGTATGTATGTACGTATGTATGTATTTATGTATGTATGTGAGTAGGTAGGACTGCATGTTATGTGCTGTCTGATGCTGAGATTGTTCTGTAAGGTTGGAGAGATTCAGCGGTCAACCCAACCGAGTTGTAATTGAGAACTTTGCAGACCCCAGTCGGATCGTCATGAGATAGCATGCCAAGAACTCATGACAAGATGTTTGCAGATGTCTACTTGGAGGTTCATGTGCTTTTAGAAGTGGGGTTATAAGTTCCCTACTCAATGTGGGTTACCCTACTTATAGCCCAACTTATAACTACCCATGAACCTCCAGGTAGACCCTAAACGCCAAATCCTAAAGGCTGGGGGCGTTCCCCCCTCCGCGGCCGAGTGGGATGCGGCGCTCGAGGAGGTGCTTGGGAGGCTCCCAGCGTTTCGAAAGGCAGCCGAAGAGGTGGCCCCGAAAGCCTCCGGCGAGGAGGGGCTGGAGGCCGCCTGCCAAATCCTCGAAGAGTCGATGGCCTGAGGTCCCCTCAGAGCCTTAAGACAAGGCGGTGAGGGTTTCGGCCTTGCTTATAGGTTCATGGATAGTTATAAGTGGGGTTTACAAGTAGGGTAACTATACTTATAACATCACTTACAGGGAACTCCAGAAAGTTGGAATATGGTTTCAGGGTAGGATACCCTATGATTTACCATAAAGGGTTTAGGATTATCATATTCCAACTTTCTGGCTTTTACTATATAACTACCCATGAACCTCCAAGTAGGGTTCAAGGGAAGCCACGCTCCCTTCTTGTAGGAGTCCTGAGGATTCCAAATCCGCAGAACTGCACGCAAAGCCTCGCCAGAGCACCGAGGGTTTTGAATAAATACAAGTGTTCTTCCTTAGGGTTCCTTATCAGAATTATACTGTAAAATACCACCTAGACCCTGTTGACTTGGACTCGAGTTGCTCAGGCCAGGCATATCTCTTTCAGCTTATGCTCCGCTGACGGAGTGTTTTTCAAGTTATCGCCGCTAAGAGAAAAGAATGAGCCAAACAGCCTAAATTCAACCAAACCAAGCACGCCTCATTCTCTTTGTTCGTTGCGTTGTCTTTGTTTAATTGAGTTTGGCTCTGTTGGGGTTCGCTCTTCGTTCACCTGGAATAAACGAACGTAGTGAAACGATGTCAACACGAAAGATTAAGTTTAGATGAGCAAAATGAATGAACGACATGTAATGTGTGTTTGCTAGTTCGAATGTGATCTTTTGTAGTTGTGTGTCTTCAAATGAATTAAACACGCAGACCCAAATGCCGCAGCCGTGAGGCTTACAGCATCTCTAAAGCGGTTCGAGTTTACACTCATAGGAGGCCAAAAGGGGTTTTAGCCTATGGGGGTTTAGTAGGGATTAGGGTTCCCATAATATTTTTTCTATTTTCAAGAATCTTAAACCCCCCCTTTTGGGTTTAGAAGGGATTAGGGTTCCCATTCCTACCCCAAGAATCTGAAACCCCGCTTTTGGCCTCCCATCAGCCGGGATGCCGACCCACATCCATGGCAAGTCTTTCCCGGCGCTTTACCCTCGGCTCCTCAGAGATCACAAGAGGTTGAACATAGAAGCCGGATCATAGTTGTACTAAGGTGTACACCAAAGCCGGACCAAAACCGGATTGTAATTATCAAGGCCCCTAAGCTAGGGATGTTTTAGGGCTTGCTTTGTTGAACTTATGTTTACGATAAGAGCCTTAGTAATTAGAATAGGGTTTGGGGTATAGTATACTCCAGTTATAATAAGGAACCCCCAAAGTAGTATTGGTAATTATTACTTGGAGGGTCGGGGGACTTAGTAACTGGTTATTTTTTGGACTTATAAGTACCATAACCCCAATTAGGGTCCCTTTTAGGGTACTTATAAGTCTACTTACTACCTACTTACTAAGTCCCCCAAAGACCCTCCAAGTAAGGCCCCTATACTAGGTTCAGGCGGCCGGGGCCTGCTTAGATTTCGGGCTCAACTGCTGTCTTTGGAGGTTTCGGCTGCCATCCATGTGGGTGGCCGTCAAAATTAGGGTCTCTTTTTGGGTACCCTAAATAGTAGGTGCCGTATCATAATAGGGACCCAAAGAGGGACCATGATTTTGACAACCACCCATGTGTGCAAAGTGCAGACAGCCTGGGGGTTGGGGTTTATGGGGGTTGAGGGTAGCGAAGAACCCCGGGCAAAACGCAGGATGAGCACTTGCGACGTTGCGAAAAGTGCCCCTTAACCCTAAACCTTATAGCCTTATAGCCTAAACCCTGAACCCTACACCCTAAACCTCAAACCCCAAACCCTCAACCCTAGCATGCGCAAGGTACTGTCCCGAGGGGCTGCCAGAAGTTCCGCCGATTGAGGGCTTTTGCCATCCCGACTGGGAGTCCCGGCTCTTGTTAAGGAATCTGTCTCAAGTTGCCATCATAGGGATCCTTAAAGTAAGGGTTCCTTTAAGGGATGAATAAGGGTTCCTTGAAGGGTTTAGGGCTTAAGGTTTAAGTTACCATAATAGAGATCTTTAGTAAATAATATGGTTTCTTCATGAGGATAACTTAAATCAAGTCCCTCAACAAGAAGAACCCAGGAGTGCGTTCGCGCTCGCTTTGCAGAGAACTTCCGGGAGCACCTGGAGCGTGGCGGAGCGGTGTGTGTTTACCACCAAGGCAAGCTTAAAAGGCTTAAACCCTTCCGAACCCCTGAGGGTTTAGGGTTTAGGGTTTAGGGTTTAGGGTTTTAGGGTTTAGGGTTTAGGGTTTAGGGTTTAGGGGTTTAGGGTTTAGGGGTTAAGGGGTTTAAACGCTTCCCAGACATCCTGAGTACCAAGACTGAGTTGTGATCATACGTCCTGCTCCTCGAGGCTACCGCGAAGCCTGACCCGCCGGACTCCAACCTAAGGCACTCCTGGTGCTAGAGGCAGAACTAGGTTTACCAGTAGTCGCCACTGTGAACATCGCAACATCCACAAAAAGTTGTGATGTTCTATCACTGCCAAATAGGACTTTGAGTTCCAGAACTAAGGCCTCTCCCTAACTAGTAGGATCCTTGGCATAAGGACCCATAGAACCCTCGAAAGCCCTCGCAGTCACAGGCCCCAAAGCCCCGAAAATCCAGGCCGCAAGGTCGTGGACCTGTGGGCTGGTGAGAAGTATCCAGGCACTTTGCCGGCAACCAGGGTTTAGGCGGTTTAGGGTCTAGGCGGTTTAGGGTTTAGGCGGTTTAGGGTTTAGGGTTTAGGCGGTTTAGGGTTTAGGCGGTTTAGAGTAGGCTTTTCGTGCCCTCTTCCGTTTCTGTCTGCTCGGACAAACGGCAAGTTCCAGTTCTTCTTCTACTGCCATGTCTCCTCTTGTTCTACTATTCGCACTTGTACTGGTGCTAGCGCTAGTGCTAGTGCGAGTGCTGGTGCTGCAAGTGCTTCTGCTACTGCCACTGCCTACTCCTGCCAGAGCTAGTCCCAATGCTATCCCCGGCACCATTTCAGGGGGTGTAAATACCAACCATAGCGGTAGCAGTAGCGCTTGCAGTGGTGCAAAGGGAGAGCATGTGGCCTCTTCCAATGGTAGTGCGTCTGGGCTCCCGCGGATATTTGTGTAGAAAATTTCGTCTTATTTGAGGTTCAACCTCCATCCTAACCTGAAGCCACGGAATGACACAGGGGCGGGAGAAGCACCAATGAAGCTTCACGAAGTAAAAAATTATCAGAACACAAGGAAGACTGCAACTACTACTGAAAATATTTCTGATACCCTATACCCGGCCCTAAACATCCCTAAACCCAAAACCCTACACCCGAAGCCCTTACTTTTACCAGCTCGATAATCGTACAAACTTTCGAGGTATCCCTTGGACCTCGGACACGCTGACTTGCTCGTTCTCCATGGGCAAAGGCTTGGCTGCGCTAGGGTTGGCGTTGCTTCACAGCCGCGGCCACCTAAACTATGACGAGAAGGTCGGGTAGCCCCAAACCCTTAGTCCTAAACCGTAGGGTAGGCTGGGACAGGGTCGGGTGCGGTTTGAGGCTCCCGGGTGTCGGCTTTAAGGCAAAGAACCTGTGATGCTTCAGCAGACTTGAAACCCAAATCCTAACACTTGTCCTCAACCTTAAACCCTATTCCCTAGACTCTAAAGTATTTAGGGAAAAGGTTCCTAAACCTTCAGGTGAGTACGTATTGGCCCGAGTTCGGCTGCAACGGCAAAGAAGCGGTGACAGTTCGCGAGCTCCTGAGCCATCAAACCGGGGCCTGCAATGTCGAGGAATCCGCTGTAAGATTGAAGGTTTGGAGTTTTAAGCCCCAGGGCTTCGGGTTTAAGGTTTGGGTTTAGGTTTTGGGTTTGGAGTTCGGTTATTGTGCTTGTTGGTTCCATGGCAGAAGAGGTTTCGGGCTCTAAGAGCATTGGGCTTGGAGCGTACTAATTAGGGTTACAAGCAACCTCCTTGAGCGCTTCTCTTCGTAATCCTACTTGCGAAGTCGCTTGAGCTTCCAAGTACTCAATCTCTTTTGCCAGGAATGAGGAAATCGTGGTTGTTGTTGGAAATGGGTGCCTCTGCTTTTGTGCTTCAGAAATTGCATCTGCGGCTTGGGGGGGGTTAACAGCCTCAGCTTCTGTCTGCTTGAAGATTCGCCGGCTGGCGATACCCCAGGTCACCTTGAGGCTTTGAGGCGTAGGCATCAGGACCGCTCCGGTGTTCGAGCCTTCCCCCAAAGCTTTGCCTAGATACGTTTTCTGCCTCGGCCAGCAATCCCAAGACCATGTGCGGATCCAAATGTCAAACTTCAGCCGAAGAGCATGAAGCCTGTCACAGTCAAGTCTATACCCCCAGCTCTCCACCCTTAAGCCTTACATGCGTTGGCAGGCTCCAAACCTCCCACTACAGAAAGCAACGCCATGCCGCCATCCGGAATCCGGACCTTTGAACCCTAAACCCTAAGCTCCTGAATTACATAACCCCCCCCAAACCCCTAAACTTCTGACGGTGAACTCCTTATGAGGCAGGAACTCCCAAAATCGAACACGCTTCAACCAAACTTGAACATGACGTAGACACAAATACAGGACACCCTCTCCCCCAAAAAACGGAATGACCATCTCCAAAGTCGAAACCTGAAGTCACATTCTTGGTTGTCATTCACGATTTCATGTATTTTGCGTTTTCTCATCTTAGCACTTTGATATACTCCACGATGTCGGTGTCTTGCAAGGGAGAACTGCATCTTAACCGCTGAAAACCCGAAACTCGCTAAACCCACCCTACAGCCAATACCCTTAAACCCCTAAACCCTACCACAAGGAGAAGCTGACGGAAGAAGTCCTCCGAAATCCTTCGCAGCTGGCGGCAGCACTGGCAAAGACCAAGATGCTGGGCTGTGGGTCTCGGGTTTTGGCGGTTAGGTTTTAGGGTTGAGGGTTTTTGAGTCTAGGGTTTTAGGGACATTTTGAAGTTTTGAATTTTTTTGGTGAGGGTTTTTGTTTGGGTATTAGAGGGGGTGTTTTGAGGGTGTGGTGTGG